GTTTATTGATTTGAGTATGTTGAAACAGCCTTGCATCCCAGGAATGAAGCCGACCTGATTGTGGTAGATAAGCCTTTGTATGTGCTGCTGGATTTGGTTTGCCAGTATTTTATTAGGGATTCACATCGATGTTCATCAGGATATTAGCCTGAAATTTTCTTTTTTTGTTGTGTTTCTGCCAGGTTTTGGTATCAGGATGATGCTGGCCTCATAAAATGAGTTAGGGAGGAGTCCCTCTTTTTCTATTGCTTGGAATAGTTTCAGAAGGAATGATACCAGCTCCTCTTTGTACCTCTGGTAGAATTCGGCTGTGAATCCGTCTGATCCTGGGCTTTATTTGGTTAGCAGGCTATTAATTACTGCCTCAATTTCAGAACTTGTTATTGGTCTATTCAGGGATTCAACTTCTTCCTGGTTTAGTCTTAGGAGGGTGTATGTGTCCAGGAATTTATGCATTTCTTCTAGATTTTCTAGCTTATTTGCATACAGGTGTTTATAGTATTCTCTGATGGTAGTTTGTATTTCTGTGGGATTGGTGGTAATCCCTCCTCTACATTTTTTATTGTGTCTATTTGATTCTTCTCTCTTTTCTTCTTTATTAGTTGGGCTACCAGTCTACCTATTTTGTTAATCTTTTCAAAAAAACAGCTCCTGGATTCATTGATGTTTTTTGAAGGGTTTTTCGTGTCTGTCTCCTTCAGTTCTGCTCTGATCTTAGTTATTTCTTGACTTCTACTAGCTTTTGAATGTGTTTGCTCTTGCTTCTCTAATTCTTTTAATTGTGATGATAGGGTGTCAATGTCAGATCTTTCCTGCTTTCTCCTGTGGGCGTTTAGTGCTATAAATTTCCCTCTAAACACTGCTTTAGCTATGTCCCAGAGATTCTGGTATGTTGTATCTTTGTTCTCATTGGTTTCAAAGAACTTATTTATTTCTGACTTAATTTTGTTATTTACTCAGTAGTCATTCAGAAGCAGGTTGTTCGGTTTCCAGGTAGTTGTGTGGTTTTGAGTGAGTTTCTCAATCCTGAATTCTAATTTGATTGTACTGTGGTCTGAGAGACTGTTTATGATTTCCATTCTTTTGCATTTGCCGAGAAGTGTTTTACTTCCAAATATGTGGTCAATTTTAGAATAAGTATGATGTGGTCCTGAGAAGAATATATATTCTGTTGATTTGGGATGGAGAGTTCTGTAGATATCTATTAGGTCTGCTTGGTCCAGAGCTGAATTTAAGTCCCGAATATCCTTGTTAATTTTCTGTCTCGTTGATGTGTCTAATATCGACAGTGGGGTGTTGAAGTCTCCCATTATTATTGTGTGGGAGTCTATATCTCTTTGTAGGTCTCTAAGAACTTGCTTTATGAATCTGGGTGCTCCTGTATTGGGTGCATATATATTTAGGATCATTAGCTCTTCTTGTTGTATTAATCCCTTTACCATTATGTAATACCCTTGTCTCTTTTGCTCTTCATTGGTTTAAAGTCTGTTTTATCAGAGACTAGGATTGCAACCCCTGCTTTTTTTGCATTTCAGTTGCTTGGTAAATATTCCTCCGTCCCTTTATTTTAAGCCTATGTGTCTTTACACGTGAGATGGGTCTCCTGAATACAGCACACCAATGGGTCTTGATTCTTTATCCAATTTGTCAGTCTGTGTCTTTTAATTGGGGGCATTTATCCCATTTACATTTAAGGTTAATATTGTTATGTGTGAATTTGATCCTGTCATTATTATGCTAGCTGGTTATTTTGCCATTAGTTTATGCAGTTTCTTCAGTGTGGTTGATCTTTACAATTTGGTATGTTTTTGCAGTAGCTGGTACCAGTTTTTCCTTTCCATGTTTAGTGCTTCCTTCAGGAACTCTTGTAAGGCAGGCCTGGTGGTGACAAAATCTCTCAGCATTTGTTTGTCTGTAAAGGATTTTATTTCTCATTTGCTTATGAAGCTTAATTTGGCCAGATATGAAATTCTGGGTTGAAAATTCTTGTCTTTAAGAATGTTGAATATTGGCCCCCACTCTCTTCTGGCTTGTAGGGTTTCTGCAGAGAGATCCATTGTTACTCTGATGGGCTTCCCTTTGTGAGCAACCCAACCTTTCTTTCTGGCTGCCCTTAACATTTTTTCCTTCATTTCAACCTTGATGAATCTGACGATTATGTGTCTTGGGGCTGCTCTTCTCGAGGAGTATCTTTGTGGTGTTCTCTGTGTTTCCTGAATTTGAATGTTGGCCTGTCTTGCTGGGTGGGGAAGTTCTCCTGGATAATATCCTGAAGAGTGTTTTCCAACTTGGTTCCATTCTCCCCATCACTCTCCGGTACACCAATCAAACATAGGTTTGGTCTTTTCACATAGTCCCATCTTTCTTGGAGGCTTTGTTCATTCCTTTTCAGTCTTTTTTTCAATAATCTTGTCTTCATGCTTCATTTCATTAAGTTGATCTTCAATCTCTGATATCCTGTCTTCCACTTGATCGATTTGGCTATTGATACTTGCATATGCTTCACCAAGTTCTCCTGCTGTGTTTTTCAGCTCCATCAGGTCATTTCTGTTCTTCTCTAAACTGGTTATTCTAGTTAGCAATTCCTCCAACTTTTTATCAAGGTTCTTGGCTTCCTTGCATTGGATTAGAACATGCTCCTTTAACTTGGAGGAGTTTGTTATCACCCACTTTCTGAAGCCTACTTCTGTCAATTTGTCAAACTCATTCTCCATCCACTTTTATTCCCTTGCTGGCTAGGAGTTGTGATTTTTTGGAGGACAAGAGGCATTCTGGTTTTTGGAATTTTCAGCCTTTTTGCACTAGTTTTTCCTCATCTTTCTGGATTTATCTACCTTTGGTCTTTGATGTTGGTAACCTCTGGATGGGGTTTTTGCGTGGATGCCCTTTTGTTGATGTTGATGTATTCCTTTCTTTTGTTAGTTTTCCTTCTAGCAGTCAGGTCCCTCTGCTACAGGTCTGCTGGAGTTTGCTGGAGGTCCACTCCCAACCCTGTTTGCCTGGGTATCATCAGTGGAAGCTGCAAAACAGCAAAGATTTCTGCCTGTTCCTTCCTCTGGAAGCTTCATCCCAGAGGGGCACCCGCCAGATGCCATCTGGAGTTCTCCTGTATGAGGTGACTGTAGACCCCTGCTGGGAGGTGTCTTCCAGTCAGGAGGCACTGGGGTAAGGGTCCACTTGAGGAGGTAGTCTATCTCTTAGCAGAGCTCAAGCACTGTGCTGGGAAATCTGCTGCTCTATTCAGAGCCGGCAGGCAGGAACGTTTAAGTCTGCTACAGGTGCACCCACAGCTGCCTCTTCCCCCAGGTGCTCTGTCCCAGGGAGATGGGAGTTTTATCTATAAGCCCCTGACTGGGGCTGCTGCCTCTCTTTCAGAGATGCCCTGCCCAGAGAGGAAGGATCTAAAGAGGCAATCTAGCTACAGCAGCTTGGCGGAGCTGCAGTGGGCTCCGCCCAGTCCTAACTTCCTGGTGGCTTTGTTTACCCTGTGAGGGGAAAACAGCCTACTCAAGCCTCAGTAATGGCAGACACCCCACCTCCTACCAAGCTCGAGTGTACCAGGTTGACATCAGACTGCTGTGCTGGCAGCAAGAATTTCAAGCCAGTGGATCTTGGTTTGCTGGGCTCTGTGGGGGTGGGATCTGCTGAGCTAGACCACTTAGCTCCCTGGCTTCTGCCCCTTTCCAGGAGAGTGAACAGTTCTGTGTTACTGGCATTACAGGTGCCACTGGGGTATGAAAAACACTCCTGCACCTAGCTCGGTGTCTGCCCAAATGGCCACCCAGTTTTGTGTTTGAATCCCAGGGCCCTGGTGGCATAGACACCCAAGGGAATCTCCTGGTCTATGGGTTGCAAAGGCCGTGGGAAAAGCATAGTATCTGGGCTGGAGTGCACCATTCCTCACAGCACAGTCCCTCATGGCTTCTCTTGGCTAGGGGAGGGAGTTCCCCAATCCCCTGCACTTCCCGGGTGAGGTGACACCCCACCCTGCTTCGGCTCGCCCTCCATGAGATGCACCCACTGTCTAACCAGTCCCAATGAGATGAGCCAGGTACCCAATGCAGAAATCACCTCCCTTCTGTGTTGATCTCACTGGGAGCTGCAGACCGGAGCTGTTCCTATTCGGCCATCTTCCCAGCCACCAAATATGAACATTGCTTAGTGAGGCAAAACAAATCAACTCTACCTCACCACCAACTTTGTAAAAACTTCAGAACTTCCAAGGATTAAATGTCAATACTGTTGCCACAGAGGCTTTGACAGGTGATAACAAGTAGCAGCTAACAGCCTTTCCTTCCCAAATGAGGTACATTATAAGTAGTATAAACATTGATGTAATTTTTCTTAAGTGGTCTCTTTAATTTGAAAGTCTTTGTTCCACTTCTTTGCTTCTCCTCTCCCACATTCTCCTCTCACCTACCACAATGACTATTCTTTCTTCTTGGCACACAGAGGTACACTGTGTCAGCTGGAATAGCTCCACTCATCAAATTGAAATAACCACTTAGGAAGTCTTTAAATATACACATTTGTGCAAGTTTACAAAATCAGAAATTTTCTCTAAGCAAACAATTACTACTAATATGGACTTTCATTTTCTCTGAATAAAACCTATGCCCTCCAACAAGTGCTCTGAGATGAATAGAGCCTCTTAGTGTGTGCAGTCTCCAAAAAATACGTTTCCAAAAATCAAATTTCCAGACTTAGGCGTTATCCAAGCTCTTCTTGAGTTATATCTCTTTCCCTTGCTTCTTCCCACCCTTTGGACAGTTTAAAGAGTATTATAAAGTGTACAACAGTGTGTTACAAATTTCAGTTTCACAACATTAAATTCATTTAGTTATTTTTTTCTAAAAGGTGGTTGGAAGGACTTAGTAACTAAGGCAAAATATGAAACAGTAAATGACTGGACTGACTCCACAGGCACCCTTCATCTTAAATATATGTGTGTATGCATGTACGCATGTGTGTACCTAAAACTCCAGAAGAAAAGGGGTTACCTTTTGTTGATGCTGAATTCTCTCTTCTTCAAGGAGCTGGGTGAGTTTTGCATTTTCATCTAAAGCTTTCAAAAGCTGCTGATCAGGGACGGAGTTCTGCAGCAGAAGGTGGCTTTGCCTCTTTAGCTTGTTTTGCTCAATGAACATCTGCAAAAGTTTGTTACAAGAATGTATATAGCATTCAATCTCACATATCTCCTCAACTGTAACTTCAGCAAAAGAAAAGTACATGGAATTTTTATTAAGACATTAAAGGCAAATTCTGACTTGTACAAGTTTTAGAAGCAGTGATTGCTATGGTTTCACTCCTTTTATATAATCTTTAATATCTTTACTCCTGCCCCAACAAGATATTTATACAATAAGCTGGTCTTACTCTTCAGTTTTTAATATTTTATTATTGCTTTAAAATACACTAATATTAATAGCAGTAGCTCATATTTCTCAAGAACTTACCTTGTGTACTCCACTAAATATTTTATATGCATTATTTTAATCCTTATACCAATCCTATTAAAGTGCTTCTACTATGAAAAGGTAACATTTACTAAACACTATGTGACAGACATGGTGGGAATCATTTTACATTCATTATGTGTTATAATCCTTAAAACAACACTATCAAGTAGACACTACTATCATCTAATTTTACTGATAAGGTAACTGAGGCTCAAAGAAGTTAGGCGACTTTCCCAAGAACACACATAAGTGACAAGACCAGGATTTAAACCCATATCTGATTTACATGCCCAAGCTCTTAACCATCTGGCTAAGTTCCTCTACTATTTACTAGATCTAATGTTTTGTTTTAAACTAATTAGTTTCTCCCCAGTGATAAAAGTAGTTAACAGTAGAAGGGTAAAGGGGAGAAGGGAGACAGTATACTTTTATTGAGCACTTTATTAAGCAATTTATATATGTTATTTATCAAACCCTCACAACTTTACACGATTGAAAATAACATTAATTTCTATTCACCTGTTATTTCTTTTCCTTAACACCCTACCCAATTTGGCCACTGAGTGATTCCAAGTATGAAACGTTTCTGTTAAACTTTGAAATCTGGCCTACCAATTTTATAGTAGAGCTTCACCTTTTCAGATTTTTAACAGCATTACGAAATTTACACTGGAACTTAACTGAAAGCTCTGAACTGTAAAATGATTTGCTACAGCCCTCATGTTAGTTTGTTCAACAACTTCACCCACCATGTAACAGAAAAAGTCAGCAAATAAAACTCAGGACAAAAATATTTTCCATCAACCTCCATGTGGCAAGACCACAGCTTTAATGATTTATACAATCCTTAAGCTCTTGATCAGTAACGATTTCCAAATCAAAGTCAAGTCATGAATATACTATACTAAAACACTAACATTTTCTTCCCAGTATGTCTTCCTATGAGAGAGGGAAAAAAGGTCAGAAGCTTTCCTTCTTTGCCTGTGCAGGGATTTATGAAAAGCCCATGAAACTACAACAGGGTTCTTCTGCAGAATTAAAACACATTACAAAGTCAAACAGGTAAATAAACAATTGTATATACATGAAACCCACATTATTCTTCCATTTGTGTGAGAGTGAGAGGTACAGAGACTGCAGTGAGGGAGAGAATGTGCATGTATGCTTGGCTAGAGAAGGGTGAGACGCAGCCTCAGCATTCTAAGAAAGAGTAATCAATATTTCATTACAGTATCTTAAACTTCAGACCAGTGATTTAATTAAAATGAATTGTTTTGGGTGATCATTATGATTACAGTAATTTTTCTTTTCTTTTTTTTTTTTTTTTTGAGATGGAGTCTCACTCTGTTGCCCAGGCTGGAGTACAGTGGCACAATCTCAGTTCACTGCAACCTCTGCCTCTTGGGTTCAAGTGATTCTCGTGCCTCAGCCTCCCGAGTAGCTGGGACTACAGGTGCCTGCCACCACACCTGGCTAATTTTTGTATTTTTAGTAGAGATGGGGTTTCACTATGTAGGCCAGGTTGGTCTCGAACTCCTGGCCTCAAATGATGCCCCCACCTCGGTCTCCCAAAGTGCTGGGATTACAGATGTGAGCCACCATGCCTGGCCAAAAAATTTAATTATGTTGAATAAATTTAAAAATTTAATACAGTTATGAAGACAACTGATAGTTTTCTTGTTGAGGGGGATTATGTTTTTGGTTTTGTTTTCTAAATAAACTAGTAGGAATTAAGAGTGGGGGGTAACTTTCAATTTTTATTTTATACATTTAGAAAATATTTGTATCTTTGTGCAAGGCACACATATTCCTTTTCAATTAAAAATACAAAGTAAATTAACCTTAAAAATTGATTTCTAAGGCTCTAGACTATAAGCTCCAAGAGGGCAGGGCTCATATTTGCTTTCTTCACCATTGGATTCCCAATGTCAGCATCGTGTCTGGCATAGTAAGATGTTTGCTGCATGCCCTAAGTGGTAAGTAAAATGCAAAAGAATGGGACTCTGTTGTTAAACTAAATTTTGTGTCTTTGTACTTATCTGTTGAAAACCTGACAATGCATAAACTACGTAAAAAGGAAAATATACTAGTTCCAATCTAGTGCTTTTTTTTTTTAAAGTTTTCTTCTCACTATTGCATAGATTGAAACTAGATATTATAAAATTGTTGAGTACCACTGCAAATATTTATGCTGCCAATAACATAAGTACCATTGCTCTTGCTTCCTTTCTCTCCTCAAACTTCTACCTCCTCATTCTGGGTTAACATGTCAGCATCATTGTTTCCACCAACCGCTAAGACTGAAGACCAGGTGAACGGCAGAGTCAGTCATTCATTTTTGTCCTCTTACTGCAACCTTGCTTCTTCCATCTGTCTTCTCTGCTACTACATGGCCTTCAAGTTTTTCTTTGAGCTGCTTTGTATTCTAACATCATTGTGCAAACAACAGATGGAAAACTGAAAATGTCTTGAAATGAGACCCTGCTATTCAGGTCAAAATCAGCCAACCTTTCCAGTTTTGCAATAAAGGGATCTTCACATTATCCCTGCTTCCCCGCCCCCTCCACTGTTTATTTCATTGCATTATTTATATTGCTGCAACGTTTTCCAGAGGGCTCTGACACACTTCAATTCTTTTTCCTTTCTTCCAAGTAATAAGAGAAAAATATTTACTCACCTTTCATTAAATTCTCTGAATAAAATGAATCATAATATTTCAAGTCAGATCTACTTGGCCCAAACCTTTGGTAGAGTTCATTGCTAGCACAGCTACGCTCAAGCACAGAAAGAGCCCCACAAAACCATAAGCAGATTTTCAAATGTCATTCCCATAATGCCACGCTTTGTCTTCCTTCTATGCCTTGGATACCTTTACCTAGGACTGTTTTACATTTCCTGAGCTATTTCCCTTCAACCCACAGTATGCACATAAATTCAAATTACACCTACAGGATGGAGATCTCATTTCAGACCAGTTTTTGAGTTTAGCCGACTGGTGAACTCCTCATGCCCCTGGACACTAGCCCCAGGGCCATGGAAGACCCAATGACTGCATGTCAACAGATAAGCCGGAACAAGAGATGCTCAAAGCTGATCTCTAACATGAGAGGAAGATCAGTAGGCTGGTGAAAGGCTGAGATAATGAAAATGAATATACTACGTGGCAGTGTTCCACAGCCAGTGGAAGAATCGCCTGGCATAATGACAGCACTGCACAATGGCCGAAGAGAAATACTGATACCATGATACTGTTATCTGAGATGGTATATGGAGATACATCCAAGAATTTAAGCCTATTTGAAATGTACAGGCATCCTGTACCCAAGCTGGACTTTCCATTACAAGCCATGGGTATCACCAAATGCAATTCCTTTCCCTTACACAGCATGTTATAGTTAACACAACACTTTCGAAAAATTTTGCCATTAAAATCCACTTGGTCAGGTCTGTATTACTGTCCATTTTACAGATGGTAAAAGTGAAGCCCTGAGAGGCTGAAGAATTGCTCAGAGGTCATACAACTAGTAATTGACATGCCAAAATTTGAGCCCAGATCTTCTGACAATGAACTTGATACTATTCTGTTATCTGCCTCCCTAAACCAGCAAATCCTTAATTCAAACTGGTGAGTTCTTATTCAACCTCAAGAATTTGTCTGACATGTCGTGTGCATATCAGAGTATGATAAGGTTCCTTACAAAACAAAATTAAAAAGGTTTTTACTGCTGGGCACAGTGGCTCATGCCTGTAATCTCCCAGTACTTTGGGAGGCCGAGGCGAGCGGATCACGAGGTCAGGAGATCAAGACCATCCTGGCCAACATGGTGAAACCCCATCTCTACTAAAAGTGCAAAAATTAGCTGGGCATGGTGGCGAGTGCCTGTAATCCCAGCTACTCAGGAGGCTGAGGCAGGAGAATCACTTGAATCAGGGAGTTAGAGGTTGCAGTGAACTGAGATTGTGCCACTGCACTCCAGCCTGGCAACAGAGCGAGACTCTATCTCAAGGAAAAAAAAAGGGTTTTTACAAGATACCTACCTCTTGGGCAAATGACTCCGCTTTCTTTCGAAGGTCCTTCTCCAGCTCCAGGTTTACTTGCATCTCCTCATACTCTTCTACAGCTAACATGGACACTTAAGAAGATAAAGGGAAAAAAACCCAGACAATAAGTCACACAAATAATCAGGAATATGGATGAAAAACAGTGTTGAAAAGATTCTTCATACCAGCATCCAGGTACCCTCATGCATTCCTGGTTGGCATATAAATTGATAAAACCTTTTTGGAGAGCAACTTGGCAATGTGAATCAAAAATCTAAAACTACTCATACACTTTGAATAATCCCACTTCTAGGAATGCATATGCTAAGATTGTGCATATACAGACATTTGGTTGCAAGGGTGCTCTCCACCTCACTGCTGATAAAAGTGAAAGGACATAATGCTCTAACACTGAAGGAGCAGTAAATTGTGTTACAAGAAATATTATTCTGCCATCAAAATTATATTGTAGAAGCATACTTAGTAAATGGAAAGACATCTGCGATGTATTTTTAAAAACAGATTGCAAAAATTAGTGCAAAATGAATTCATTTTTGTTCTTTAAAAGCCACAGATAAAGCACATCAACAGCCATTTCACAGAATAGAAAATATACAAAAGGCCAATAAACATGTGGAAAGATGCTCATCTTCATTAGGAATCAGGGAAATGCAGAGTAAAAACACTTCTTACACCCGTCCAAGAGGCTACTGGTAAAAATTTTAAAGCATGGTTTTATTAAATTTGGAGAGGACACAAAACCATGGGAACACATATATTGTTAATAGGACTGTAAACTGATAGATCTTATACAATTTGTTACGCAGTGAAAAAAAAAATTGAAGGTAAAATTTTACATTTGGCATATGTCTTAGAGAAACTCTTGGACATGTGCACCAGATGACATGTCTAACAATTTTTATAATAACATGACTCAGAATAGCAGAAATCTGGAAACAGCCCAAAGTCTACCAACAGGATACTACTTAAAATAATTTTAGTGTAGTCACCTAACGGAATAGCATACAGCAGCGAAAACAAACATACCACAGCTATGCCTGTCCACATGCATGAATCTCACAAACACAAAAAGTTGCAGAAGGTTATAGGAAAAATGATTCCATTTATATAGAGTTCAAAAATATGCAAAATTAAACAATGCTGTTTAGGGATACATACATATTTGGCAAAACTACAAATAAAAGAAAGGAAATAATAAAAATTCAAGGGAGAGGTATGAGCAGAAAGGGATGTTCATGGGTTTACAAAGTACCAGCAAGTATAAAGAGAATTCTTTTACTGGTATTTCCTCTGTCTTATATATATATAATAAACATATTTAACACAAAATTCCATGTGTATATATATAGATTTAAGATTGGAAGAATATACACTAAAATGTTACTAGTGCTTATCTTTGAATTGCAAAAGTTGAGATTTTTTTTCTTTTCTTACATGAATCTAAATTTTCCACCAAAGAAAGTATGTTACCTGAATATATATATTTTAAAATATATATAATATATATTAAATGTAAATAAATGTATAAATATAAATGTATAAAAATGTAAATATTTTATATAATATATATTATATATAAAAAATGATTTATATATATAATATGTATTATTTATTTATTTATTTTTGAGAGACGAAGTCTCGCTATGTCTATCGCCCAGGCTGGAGTGCAGTGGTGCAATCTCGGTTCACAGCAACCTCCGCCTCCTAGGTTCAAGCGATTCTCCTGCCTCAGCCTCTCGAGTACCTGGGGTTACAGACAGGTGCCTGCCACCCCATCCAGCTAATTTTTGTATTTTAGCAGAGACGAGGTTTTACCATGTTGGTCAGGCTGGTCTCAAACTCGTGATCTCAAGTAATCCACTCGCCTCAGCCTCCCAAACTGCTGGGATTACTGGTGTGAGCCACAGCGCCTGGACATCTAAGTTATTTTTAAGTGTTCTCCATATTTACAAAGGAGAGAAACAAACAGCCTTAGATCCATTCAGACCCAAAGAATCAGAGCTTTGTACCAAAGAGTTACTGCAAGACAGAAAGCTTCAAAAAGAAGGTCCTGTCAAATAAAAGTAACATAAATTCTTTGCTATTTTCAACATTCAGTGGCCTATTTTGTTAAATAGTGATAATGACAGGACAGAAAGAGTGATGACGCCATTAGATATTAGGCACAAGCTAGGCAGACAGCACACTGTCCATCCACTTCTGGTGAGGCACCTCCACCCTGAGCTGAGTCATACCAACACAATCTTTCAAAAGGCTCTCTTAACAGCTGCCTTCACACACTGTTCCGCCAGGGCACTTCAATCCTAACTGACTAAGGACTGGTTTGCTGTGTAATGACATAGAATTTCAAACTCTGTACTCTGTAAATCTACAGCCTCCTCAGATGAAAGACTAGTAAGTAGAGCAATATGAGTGGTGATTTTTGGCGTGAATTATAGGTCCCTGAGAGCTAAATGATTTTCAAGCCTATTTAAAAAAGAAATTTCATGAAGAAAACAAAGAACACTGTGACTATCTGAAGCCCTGGCACGATAATTGACACTCTTTTCTATGTCTAGGACACTATAATAAAAAGGGAATTTTCACGTGTCCTGGCCCTTCTGACTTGGAATCTGAAAAAAATCAGGTTGGTCCTAGTCAGGTATGTATTTACATAATTTCTCTCCTTCTAGACAGAGGGCTCTCTGAAGGCAAGAGCTACATGATTAACCCTTGCAGAACCCTTTTCCTAACACAGTGAATCAAGACTGAAAATTCTACACCATTTATATCTTTAAATACAGAAAGACTTGAAGAAATGTTACAATCCAGCATATTGCCCACATTTAACTACAAGGTCCTTTATTTATGAAAAAAATCCCAGTTGATTAATGATAAAAAGATTGACCGCTACCACCACCACCAATAGGGAAGGCCCTGGGTCGCAAAGGCTTCCTGTTAGTGTTGCAGCTTCTAAACAAGGAAAGAGAGTGGCTGAGGGAAAAAGAGAGAACAGAAAGTATATTAAGTTCTTCCTACTACTTCCCAGAATTACTTTTGCAGAACCACACTTTGGCATCATTTCCTTGTCTTAAACTGGGAGACACATGAAACAGCCCTCATGAGAGTTGACGCCGCATTTTATAACTAGGTGGATAAAGTCACTGTTGACCAAAGTACACGAAGTTTTCTCTGGAGATAACCACTGGAGACATTTCCCTCTCACCAGGAGACCAGGTCTGCTTTTCCTGATCATTAGGTTCATTTTCATGTGATTCATTTAAATGATAATCAATCTCTTATTGCACTGACTGCCAGACAGCTCAGAGCCAGATTTCAGACAGACAGGCAGGAAATGTGCAAGACCTCAGAACAAGAATGCACTTTGTATCTCAATCTAACTCTCACTTTCCTTTGTCCCATTTCCCACATCCTCTTAATTTATGATTTCATCACATAATGTTACATGTTTTATGTAGACAGCCTAACCTCTTCTGGATTGAGAGTTACTAAATAACCTACCAAATATATAAATGCTGAGGGGATAGCTAAAAAGGCCATGACCCCTGGATATATGTAAGACAGAAGTAGTATTTCTGTTAAGAGGTTTCAAAATGAGTGGGTTCCTTGTTCCTCAAGTGAAATCACTTTTAGATGTTCCCAGACTCTAAGTTGGGTAATAAAATAATAGGAATGGGAGAGACACACTGCTAGAAAAACACAATATAGGAGATTTTATTTACAATCATACTTAGGCATAGGAGTAAAATGACACACGATATATGCAAACAGAACAAACTGCGTATGTATTTCAGAAAAAAAGATTGGACAGACTTACCTCTATTGCATTTTTCTAAGACTTTTCTCTGTTCAAGAACTTCTGAATTTAAAACAGCCTTTTCTTGTTTAACTTTATTTACCTAAAAATGTGAGATTTTTCAGGGGAGAAAACACCAAAAATTGTAAAACAGGACATATGGCAATGTGTGATACTCAATTGCTGTTCAACTTTCAACATGAAGTTACAATTTAAAGCAGAAATTGGTTTCAATGTGTTAAGACTTTTTATTAAAGCTCTTCTTTAAAGCTTCAAGGATAGCTATTTAAGTTAGGATGTGTACCTGGTACAGAACTTATTGATACATTCCAGTTGGCACTGGCCCCTAAACATGACAGTATGCTAGCCATCCAATGTAAATGATACATGTTTTTTTAAAAGTAAAAAAAAAAGAATATAGAGATGGGGTCTCGTATGGTGCCTAGGCTGGTCTCGAACTCCTGGGCTCAAGCAATCCTCTTGCTTCAGCCTCCCGAAGTGATGGGATTACAGACGTGAGCCACCATACCCAGCCATGATTCATATTTTTAATGCAAAAATCCAACTAAAGATCACCCAGAAAATACAAGAATCATTTAGTCAAGATCTGATACTCAATTTTGGTATTCATTTTTAATGTTGATTACTTTTGACTTAAGACAAACATGAACTTTTAAAATAAAGGAAGACTTTGAACTTTGATGACTCTTGGCTTAAATAAAATACATATAAATACTCCCACAAAAATTTAAATTTCTGAAATAACTGTTGATGTCTATAAATGAAAAGAGAATACTATAGAAAAGTTTTCTTTTTTTTAAAAGAACATAAAGAAAAGCTACATATAGCAAGGTAGAAGATAAATCTCAAATACATTACATTGAATTTAGAAAGTAGGCATGTTCATAATATTTAAAAACACTCAAAATACTATGTATTGTAGTGAACATGTAAACATATGCACTGACATGATAAACACCAAGTTCAGAATAATGGTTATTTAGGGAAACTGGGCAGGAAGCAAGGATTATGCAACTAGAAAGAGTTACACCAGGGCTTTCATCACTGTGCTAATATTCTGTGAATTAAGTTAGGTAGCAGGTATATGGATGTTCATTAAAAATAATTTTTTTAGACACAGGGTCTCTGTCACTCAGGCTGGAGGGTGGTAATACAATTATTGCAGCCCCGAACTCCTGGGCTCAGGCAATCCTCCCACCTCAGCCCTCTGAGCAGCTGGGACTACAGGCACATGCCACCACGCCTGGCTAATATTTTTAAAAATATTTTTGAGAGACAAGGTCTTGCTGGTCTCCAACTCCCAGGCTCAAGTGATCCTCCTGCCTCAGCCTCCCAAAGTGCAGGATTACAGGCGTGAGCCACTGAACTCAGCCCCATTATTTTGTTCATTATGCCTTTTCAGATGTCTGAAACAGTCATAATAAAAATAATTGTTGAACTGTCTTCCAATAACACCTCTAAGTGGGAAGGGAGAGAATCATCAGTAAATAATCACAACTGAGGAACAGAGCACACCAAGAAACAAAGATAATGGTCCTGAAAGTGGCTCTGAATCCATCAGCACCTCCAGATAATCTATGAACTGGTTCTTTCAGTGTAGGCTTTATTTTTGGTTTTGGTTTAAATTAGTAACTGGTACACACTGTTTAACAGTAAGGCCCTTTCCAAAATATCATCATCCTTCTTCCCATTCATTATACTGTTTTGCCACAGTAATAAGAGGAGCTCAGACTGGGAAGTTGGCGGACACTGCTTCCCAACCTTTTTTACATCATGGCTTCCAAGAAAACGACGGTATGTGTATGCGAACTGAGGTAACTGGATGAGGCTGCTCACTGACAGGATCAATACATTGGCATGTTCATAAGCCACTTTATCAAGGCGCAGTAGCACATCAGTTGGGAAGCGGTGGGCTACAGAATCTAAGAACCACTGATACAAATTAAATCAAGAATCAAGACTGTGAAGGCAAATCTTTGAAGCCTCGTGCAAATAAAAGGCAATTGTGGGGGTCTTGTTCTTAGACAGTTCAAAAGGAAAAAGAGGCCAGGTGCAGCAGCTTGCATTTGTGTTCCCAGCACTTTAGGAGGCCAAGATGGGAAGATCATTCAAGTCCAGCAGTTCAAGGTAAGCCTGGGAAATACAGGAACCCACATCTCTATAAAAAAATTTTAAATATTAGGCAGGCGTGGTGACATATGCCTGTAGTCTCAGCTATTTGAGAGGCTGAGGCAGGAGGATCATTTGAGCCTGGGAGGTTGAGGCTGCAGTGAGCTGTGATCATACCACTGCACTCCAGCCTGAGTGTGATAGAGTTAGGTCTTGTCTCAAACAAAACAAAACACCAGAAAAGAAAGATTCTGGAAGCAACCACTTGAACGCATCCTACCACCTATCATAAATGCCTGTGTTGGAGAAGCACGAGGGACAGGCCTTCCCAACTGAACCAGTCATTCACTGGAAAAGCAAAACATGCTCTTCTTTCTCTACCAGCGGCACTAAAATATATGACTTGAAAGAGTAGCTACTATTTGCCTTACATAACAAAAACTGGGGGAACAACAGGAAACATGTCCATACTATTTCAGAGTTGTATTTATTAAGCCAGGTAGTGGGTACATGAATCTTCATGATCTTATTTCCTCTACCTTTTTCTATGTCTGAAATTGAGGAGAGAAGATTAAAATTGGTACATGGTTCTCATGTTAGAAATTGGCTTATATTATTAAGTTCTTAACTTAGCAAATCCCCAAACACCTTGAAAATGCTAAAGCCCTTGCCTTTCAGGCCTGAGATACATACTTCTTCAATTACTTCTACGAGTTTGCTCTTGAGATTTTCCAGCTCAATGGCTAATATCTTCTTTTCCTCCTGAACGGATACAATTTGATCTCGAAGTTCTGCATTTTTCAAGAAAAAAATATATAAATAAACTTATTTTTAAAAGAAGGCATCAATCTGGTCAAAAGAATTGAAAACGCCAGTCCATGTGCAGCTTATGGTCAAGATTATTTAACAATTAAAAGGAAATGAAGAACCAAAGGACAATGAGAATCTCATTTGCGTGGCCCCTCCCCCATATAGCCATGGATATTAACAATTGTATATCAGGCAACCTCACTACATTAAATGTACCAGATCGTGTTTTCTTTGCATTCCATCAAAACCACATTCTAGAAAACTAGCTGGCATTTTGGAAGTAAGATTTTTTAAGTTTTCAGCAACACAAATTAAGGTGTAGTATTTATTTCTTTTTTATTTCATAATGCCACAGGCTCTTATCACAAAACAATATAAATAAACAATTGGGCAGTTAATAATTTGGATATTTTGATTAAAAGTAAAAGTTCCTGACTTGTTGCCAATGTATAGTCCTTAGACATTATTTGAACTGATTCAAAATATAACCATTTGAAAGAAGGGTTAATTCTCATAATTTTCTCTCTAGAGTCATGGGTGTTTTGTTTTTAAATTTATTTCATAGTTTTATTATTAGGATTCAATGAAAAATGTGTTATTAGAACGAGAATATTATCAACTGTAAGTGCAAAATCTTCTGGTGTTAAAGTTACTTCTGTCACCCAAATGTTTGAAAATACACACAGATTAGCACAGACTACTCAAATTTATATTCTGGCCTACTGTTTTGCCACTTAGGTTTTAACTGCCTTTAATTTCTTACTGTTTTCCAAGTGCAATAAGAAACATGGTATGTGGTTATTCGTAAATTAGATCAAACTTTTTACATAAACTCAGCTTGAAGAAGTTATCAGACTTATTTCTAAATCACTTTCTCCATTGGCTGGCTAATCCAGAAAGAAGAACATGAAACCATTTTGTTCAAGCTCGAACAGAAAGGAGAATGATGAACAAATGGAACTCCTTTAAAATTCCTCTCCCTCCCTACCAACATGAATTCTATTTTGTCTTAGCTTGAGGGGTTGAAGAGTCGGATAAAGATGGTGTCTGTAACATCCTTTCTTCTTTGTACTTCCAGTTGATATGTTATCTACCAAATAAATGAATATTGCTTTTGACCTGTATACTAAATTAAAATGGTCCAATAGTTATTGAGCCAGAACTGCTTTCCTACATCTTTAAATAAACATGTGTATGAATAAAATGAATGAGAATTTAATAGATGTATCATATGATCTTGCCTTACAACACTACCTGTTAACCAACAAAAAGGGGTGTTGGCTAAATATATTTTTATTCATTCTTTCTTTCATTTAACAAAAATATCTTGACACATGGTACATATCCTTAAGGTTATAGTATAACTGGCTGTTTCCATTGAGACAACACTTTCAAAAGTGCCTAATTCCAAACAAGAAAGTAACTCATAAAGCACAATTGTTATATACCCTATGGTGATTTGGAGATTTAAATAAATGATGTGGGAAGCTTTCAAAATGCTGACGCCTGGGTCCTACCCCATCCAAAATTCGGATTTAATTGGCCTATGGTGTAGCAAAATTTTGGATAGGGTAGGACCCAGACATCAGGCTTTTTTGTTGTTGTTGTTGTTGTTGTTTTGAGATGGAGTCTCACTCTGTTGCCTGGAGTGCAACGGCACAATCTTGGCTCACTGCAACCTCCACCTCCCATGTTCAAGTGATTCTCCTGACTCAGCCTCCCAAGTAGCTGGGATAACAGGCACCCGCTACCATGCCCAGCTAATTTTTGTATTTTTTAGTAGAGACGGGGTTTCACCAGGTTGGCCAAGTTGGTCTCCAGCTCCTGACCTCAGGTGATCCACCCGCCTCGGCCTCCCAAAGTGCTGGGATTACAGGTGTGAGCCACCATGCTCTGCCCAGGCATCAGTATTTTTAAAGTTTCCCACATGATTCTGATGTGCAGTCAGGGTTGAGAAGCACTATCCTAATGGGGTACAAAATATGCTCAACAATTAAGCAAAGAGTTCTACCTTTAATTTGCTTCTGACACTGTACTGAGACACAAGTCTCGGCGGCACCGTCTGTGTCTATAGTTGAATCTTCATCATCAATGTTTATCTCTTCAGTTATTACATCTGGCCCCAGCTTGGCCATGTACAACATGCTGATTCTTTTCAATGTTTTATTTTCTTTATTTAGCTAAGACAAAACATAAAAACAGTTATTTTAACAGCAGCCAAATGAGTACCTTGGGTTTTTAAACAATAGACAAATTAAGTATATTTTTGTCTTACATATTCATCAACACTCACAGCAGGACATAACAATTAGCAGATTCATTAAATAAGGTTTTATATTAAATTTATTTCTTTAACCAAGACCTGATGCCTGGATTACAGCCAGCAGCAAGTGGAAATGCTAGTTGTAACTGATGAGAAATATAAGGAACTAAGATAAAATACCAGTACAGATTAAATAAAATTTTGATTTATAGTCATTAAGAGTCTTTAAAAAGGCACTTTATTTCAAGCAAATCTGCTTGCTGTGGTGCTGTGAACACCTTTTAAATGTCTGTTTACCTAACATCTCCTCTTTTCTGGACATTACCACTCCTCATTGTTCCACATGATTTCAATGGGAGCGCCATGCTCTCCCAAGCATACCCCATCCCTTTGGTCACAGCGAATTAGCCCAGGGATTAAGCACATGACCCAAGTGTGACCAATCAGATCCCCTCTCTAGAAATTTAGAGGCTAGAACAGAGCAATGAGTTGCTTTCCATGCGTCTGGACAGGAGCTGCTGGTAACCACATTCCACTACAGAATCAAGGAAAAGAGGAAGGTAGTTTTTAGAAAAGCTAAAACTGAAGCTGATGTGTAGAGAAAGGAAGAGAAAAGCAGGGGAGAAAGAGTTTCCCACCAGACTCAAGCCCCAAACTCCAGTCCATTCCTAAACTGCTCCTGACTCAGAGATTCTATGGAATTCTCTGATACTTCTAACAGATTCCTATATCATTTTCTTTTCTTGTTTAAACTAGTTCAAGCTGTTGTTTCTACTATCTCTTCTACTATCTCTATTAAAAGAGTTCTCGTTTGGTCGGGTGTGGTGCCTGTAATCCCAGCACTTTGGGAGGCCGAGGTGGGCAGATCACGAAGTCAGGATATCAAGACCATCCTGGCTAACACAGTGAAACCCAATCTCTACTTAAAAAAAAAAAAATACAAAAAATTAGCTGGGCATGGTGGCAGGCACTTGTAGTCCCAGCTACTTGGGAGGTTGAGGCTGGAGAATCGCTTGAACCCAGGAGGCAGAGGTTGCAGTGAGCCGATATCATGCCATTGCACTCCAGCCTGGGTGACAGAGCGAAACTGTCTCAGGAAAAAAAAAAAAAAAAAATGCTGCTTAGGCTCTATACCATACCGAAATATCTGGCAGTGGAGCCCAGCATAGCACTTTTTCGGTTTCCCAGGTGATTCTAATGTACGTCAACACAAAGAATCATTGAGAAATGCATGGCTTTAGTATCCAACCCAGCTCTGCAATAAAATTCCATCTCTGCCTTTACAACTAACCTAATCCTTACGTTTCAGTTTTCTCATCAATAAACTAAGAATTAAGATAGTTTCTATCCCACAATAGGATGATTAAATGAGACATTATATATAAAGTATTTAATATAGCAACTGCCACATAATAAAACTTCACTGTTAGCTATTAAAAGTAAGAAAAGAGGTTTAGTTTGTGTCTAACTATCCTTTGGAAATCATTTATCCCAGCTAGTTTTCTTCAATCAAGGTATTCATTTATGCATTTTCTTCTTCCTCCAGGATACTCATGGAACTATTAGTTTCTGCCATCTAGTGCTTAATATATTACTTCTTAGACAACCACTACAATAATACCTTAGTAACATCATAGTTAACACAGTTCCGCCCTCAAAAGGGTTTAATGCCTCTATCAAACCAGGCACCAAAATCCATCAGTTTGTCTGTAATACAATTACTCTATTTAACAAAGTCACCAGTTTAAGAAAAAAAAAGCCAACCAGAAAATTTCATAAGTCTTCTCTGAAACACCATTTTCACATTTTGAAAGAAGAAATGTAAGATTTACATATATGAGGTCTTTTTTTTTTTTTTTTTGGAGTTTGGTTCTTGTTCTGTCACCCAGGTTGGAGTGCAGTGGTATGATAACAGCTCACTACAGCCTCAAACTCTCAAACTCCTGAACTCAAGTGATCCTCCCATCTTGTCCTTTCAAAGCACTGGGATTACAGGTATGAGCCACCACACCCAGCCTAGACATGAGGTCTTATGTGCATACTATTTGGACATTTTTGAGAATTCTGAATTTACAGATTTTGGCTAAGCAATTTCATTGTAGCTCTTTGCCAAGCTATAGGTTAATGGCATGCTACTTGTTGTTTGGAATCCCTCTATGTGTAAGGCAAAAATATATCTTTTGTTTTCTTTTCTTGAGATGGAGTCTCACTCTGTCACCAAGCAGGAGTGAAGTGGCGTGATCTCGGCTCACTGCAACCTCCAACTCCCTTCATGTGATTCTCCTGCCTCAGCCTCCCGAGTAGCTGGGATTACAGGCACGCGCCACCATGCCCAGCTAATTTTTGTATTTTTAGTAGAGATGGGGTTTTGCCATGTTGGCCAAGATGGTCTTCATCTCCTGACCTGAGGTGATCCGCCCACCTCAGCCTCCCAAAGTGCTGGGATTACAGGTGTGAGCTACCGCACCTGGCCAAAAATATATCTTTTAAAATCCTACAGTAACAGAACCTACTATTCTATTCAAATGTAAGTAGAGTTTTTATATTACCCATAGTTTGTGACTATTTAAAGGTACAAAACAAGCAAGTTTAATGGCTTTGGATCGTATGACTTAAATAACTGGTCTACATTTATCAGTTTTATCTACACATTTTAGCAAAGCAAAGTATCCATACCTGGTTCTAAGAAAATTATAAGGAACTGGGCACAGTGGCTCACACCTGTAATCCCAGCACTTTGTAAGGCTGAGGTGGGCAGATCACCTGAAATCAGGAGTTTGAGACCAGGCTGGTCAACACAGCGCAACACCGTCTCTACTACAAACACAGAAATTAACTGGGTGTAGTGGCAAGTGCCTGTAATCCCAGCTACTCGGGAGGCTGAGGCAGGAGAATTGCTAGAATCCAGGAGGCGGAGGTTGCAGTGAGCCAAGATGGCATCACTGTACTCCATCCAGCCTGGGCAACAGAGCAGGACTCCATTTCAAAAAGAAAAAAAAAAGAAAATTATGAGGTCAAACTGCATCATAAGAATTAAACATTCCATTTGTCATTAATTTGATGGCAATAATGTAGAAAAGTAAGAATTTACAGAACTTGGCTCTCAGAAAAAATGAGCAGTTTTGCAAGTCTACTTTCAAAAATGACAACTGATACTTAAATCAGAATGTGCTATTATCATTTATTGGAAACACATATAATGAAGTTTCCACATTTTGCATTCAAAGCACTCTTTTACAACAAACAAGCACATTTATACTATTTGATTTAATCCATTTTTTGGATTTTTATTCTAGGCCCCATGAGTTCATACTACATCTTCAAAAATAAACTATATGTCCATTTTAAAAAAGGCTTTTTAAAGAACAGGCAACAAACAATGTTAAGTAAGGATCCTACTGTTAAGACTTAATTGTAAAAATGAGCTTAGAGATTAGGTAACACTGGTTCATAACCAGCAATGAATATAACGGTCACCAGGCAGCTTTTCTACACACACATGCCTGGGTCACACATCTAGAGCCAGTGGATCTGGCATATTATGAAGAAGCCAACAACCATGGTGCATCCTGGCATTTAGAGCAAGACAACTATAGCTCAGAGAGGTGAGTTCTCTTGCCAAAAGACACCTATTAAATAAAAGGGAAGACAGAAAAGTAATTTTTTTACAGGGGGCCATATGCAAATAAATTATTAACTCCAGTCCTAACTCTAGTCCATCATGTCATTTAAGATGAGATACTACAGTCCAGAGAACAAAACTAACTTGTCCAAAATCACATATGCCCAAAATGACATAACCAGGAACAAAACCTGTGTATACTGCCCCACAAACCAGTGCCTTCCAGAAACTCTGCCAATCCTGAAAGGTAGCCAGTATCCTCACTCTGGACGTGCTATGACAACAGGAATACTTGTTAATAACAAGAAAAAACAGACAGTGTATCCTTAGACGCTAGAAGATCCAGAGCAGTTAGCAGGCTCCGAATGTACTTTTTCTCTACTTATTCCAAAAAAAGAAATTCAAAAAATGAAAACAGAATTCACACAACATTATGGACTAGTGAACTCCAGGAATGTGCCGCAGAGTAAAAATGATGTGAGAATACTCATGTTATCATTTTTTAAAAAGTGTTTTTAAAGTGTATTGCTATGTATTCTTCAGACAAATACCAGGAGAGAAGTTACATATCCAAATTTATATTCTTAGGTTCTGATTAAATATCTTATGAATTCTAATGTAGTGTTGTTATGCAAACAATTAAGCAAATGCCTCCAGCAAGCACACTGTTAATGCATACAAATTATATTTATTTATGTATTTATTGGGAGTAGGATTTCAGTCACATCCAAAGAAATTTTCGGAGGTGGGTGATGGAGGGCAGGGAAAAGAAACACAACCAGTATTACTAATGAAATTTGGTTGAAAATTGCTGTAATCCATTTTCTGATGAAGTGGTTCAGATGCATTTTACCCAACCCAAAATACATAAGACAGAGATAAAAAACATTCTTTAATAATAATGTACTTCTGATGAGATAGAATGTAGAAAATTACACACTTGGTAAATTCATCAGCAAGAGGCAATCAGTGGAACACTGGAGGTCACCTTTAGCATGCCCTCGCTTTGCTTTCACAAATAATCACCTGAAATGTATGGCTTCAGGGTGACTTTTTCATCTGATTCAAATATGAGACATTCACTGCTCTTTTATGTCACACCAGGTTAGTTTTAAACTTGGTTAGCATTTTAACCAAATGCATGGACATTTGCAAAGTTCCGTTTAACACTACTCTGGGACCATTTTTTCCACATTTTCACAGACAAAAAGCACAAATGCTAAAATACTCACATACAAATGCTCCTTTTACAATTGGAATAACCTTTGCATTAAGGCAAATATTTACATAATCGTATTCCAGGATTCTGAGACCTTTTAACATTTCCCTCACCATCAGAGCAGATAATCGATTAGAGAAACAGAAAAGCAAAACTGGACAGAAGCCACTGCTTAGAAAAGCAAGTTGAAATTTAAAAGTTCAGGTAAAATTCCTTCATTTGAAGTCTCACCTTTGTTGCCAAAGCTTCAGCACTTTCTCGACAAGTCTTCTCTATTTCAAGATGGTTCTGCATGAAATTAACTTCCTCTATGACCATGTGAGAAACTAGGAATGAAGGGGAAAAAAAGATCTCAGCATTCAAAGATTAGTCAGCTATTCCAGGAGCCCACGCATCGTCCCATGATTAAGAATACTTCAATTCTTTGGCTAGCCAGACCTTTAGCTATCACTGAAAAAAAGGTTTTTGAGAAGCTGCCCTGATTAAATCTGAGCTAATATTTGAATGTAGAAAGAAACAAGAACACAATGAAAAACATTCATTTTACATACATAAATTTTATTATGTACATTTTAAGCTAGATTTTTTTACATCTATTTTCTATGCAACTATATATGTATCCATAGACATATCTGCTAATTTAAACAAAAGAATATTTCATAAATAAAGAGGAGTGACAGCATGACTTCTTTTTCTTAGCAGGGTGTAACAAAAAATAAAAGAAAAATAAATCTTAAATTGATCTTATGACTGGAATAGTGATGTGGCAACTTGGCTAAGTACTGCAACATTAGTCTCTATTAGCTACAAAGTAGTTACTGCTATTTTGTAAATAACTCTTGGGCAGAAAAGTGTAAGCAATAAGATTTATGTACTATACGGTTATAAAGCAGAGGCTAACAAATTGCTTCCTGAATCACAGGCTATCAGGAGTATTAGAGGAAAAGTAAAATTTTACTTGATATTTTACCAATGCTTGAAAAATAGTATTTTTTAGATTTTTTGATAGCTGGTGCATGTAAATTGAGATTTACAGGTATAAAGTGATTTAGAACTTGAGTTATATTTTGAAGATCAAGTAAGAAAAATGCCAATTCCTTCCACCCATATTTCTAGTTAAATGAAAACTCTCAGAATCTCAACCCTAAATGTAGACAGTATACTTACTGTTATTTGTTTGGCTTAAAAAAAAAAATTAAAGGAAACCCAAATGTGAAACCCAACAAAGTTAGGCAAAAAGCACTGGGCTCACATAACACAAAGAGAGATTACTTTTGCTTCATTTAAGCTTAATTAACCTGCAATTATGATTAAACTCAGGGGAAAAAATTTCTCTCCAAATTAAATACAAAAATGTATTACTTCCTAAGTCTGTCCAAAGTTCTTATTATGTTAATATTCAAATTCATAAAGCAGCACTAAATGGCCAGAAACATCTCTAACCTTGACATTTTTTCAGGGGTAATAATAATCTGCAGCAAATGCAGGCCAACCAAAAACCACTTAACTAATTAGTAGTTGCAGTCACCGAGAAAAACATGAATCAACACTGTTATTACAAGTGGCACATTTGAGTGGCATCTAATTATGACTTGATGAGCACGATACTTGCATTATCAACATTACTACTGCATCCCATCAGGGCCTAAAAGCTGCTGATGGCATTGACTTCGAGAAACTCCCACTCAATGGTACAGCAGCACCCAACAATCGGCTTGGCAGGGGCCCCCCTCACTAAATGACACGTTAAGCGTAATTACTGGTAGACATTGTAAATAAACAGGATTGGAAGTGAAAATTGTACCAAGTGCATAAGACACAATCTGACACATTGGAAGTGGCAGCCTTAATTGAGAGTTTCTTTGACTGCTCAAGATCATTTCAACTGCATTTCTCAGAGGACAGTGATTATAACTGTGGAGACAGACGGCATAATGGTATCAGCACTGCTGACAGAGCAGTGAATTAAATTGTATCTGCTGTTGTGTGAAAGCCTTGATGAGAGGTACAGATGCCTTAGTGGTCTTATCATTATAACACAATGGTCATGTTGTCATCAACCTTTCTGGCTCCAATTGAAAAGAAATGATTGTGTGTTGAAGCTCCCCCTCCCTTCCACATCACCCCCCTTCTTCTCTTCTATCTCTTGTTCTGAATAGAACCAATTTTCAGAGAGCTATGAAATCACGCAATAGGTCCTAAAATGCAGCTGCTTGGCATACAAACGGGTCCCCATTAAACTGGAATCACACACAATATGTGTTTATGCCAGAAGAACAAATAGAAGCTGAACACAGGCCAAGTTTATTCACACACACAAAGCCCATGTAGCTCTTCATCAATATAATTGCCTTTTATATTGTAGTTTAAATAATAGGCTCTATTATTTCCTTAAAATCCTAATATTCCTGGCATTTTATCACTATGTTTACAAGGTAGGTTCTTCAAAAATGTGAAGGAAAGAGAAAAGAAACCTATACAATTTTTACAACATCAAATATGACTTTGAATTTTTAGCCTTAACTACTTGACATCTTCTGCCACAATCTGGTATTTCCACTATCTAACAAAAACATAAACACTCTGCATTTTTCATAGGAATCTTACTTTTTATTCAATAACATTCTTGCTCTTGAAAGAGTAAGAAAATTCATTCTGCAGTAGTGAGGTTTAGGCCTAGCGAATAGGAAACAAAACAACAAGCAAAAAAAAAAAAATTTATTTTCTAAACATTTTGTAAAAAGGTGCTCTGTGATTTAACTTCATAAACATAGCTGGGTAGTCCTTGCTCACACTTTCTCCAATTCTGATTTGGCACACTCCATCTGGCAGGATTTTTATTTCTTCTCAAAGAGAGAACAGTAGACATTTTTTAAATTGCACATTAACTTTTAGTTTAGGAAATTCTTCCAGTGCTAAATTGGTAGCATAACAAACCTACTTACCAACTTTCTAGGTTCATAAGGGAAGAATATATTTCAAAGGGTGATTATATCTTCAAAAAGCATGACCCCATTTCCAAAACCAAAAGTCAAGTCACGTGATGCAAAACAGAACTATTTTTAATATGTAAATTTATTTGCACATTTCAAAGAATAAAAGTTTTTTAAGCATTTAGATATTCATGTAACAACTTGCCCTGCGGTGCTGAATTGGGCTTGTCTCAGGATATCCACAATCCATGGCCACTGTACCTGTCATATTTGCATATTCGGATGACATGAGGTTTAAAAAAGAAAAAAGATGAACTTTTAATAAAGTGTCCATAATATTGCAGTTATGTTAAAAAGAAAAATCTTTCAGAAATACATACTGAAATATTTCCAGGCAGTAAACAGTAAAATGCTATGATGACTGGAATTAGTTCCAAAGCAATCCGAGGTCAGTGACAGTGGGTGTATGGGTGTACAGATGGAAGACTGGCTGTGAGTTGGCAACTGTTGCAGCCGGAAAACTGAAACATGGGGATTTGTTACATTATTTTCTCCCCTTTGCATAACTTTGAAATTTTTCATAGTAAGAAAATATAAATGACCCTGAGAACTCAGAGGTATAACATAAAAGTACATCAACTATTGTTTCTATTAGTCTACTCGAATTAGCAAAGTTTGTCTCTCTTCAACTATGACTTCAAAGCAGTCTTACATACATGGCAGTGCAGTACACATCACATTGTAGGGTAACCGTTTTTTTTTTTCTTTTACTTGTTTTTATCTTCTACTCACTATGAACATTAGAGCATGGATTTTGTTTTACACATCTGATTCTCTTGCACCTAGCACAATGCTACATGCAAAGTAGGTGCTCGTGTTAGTGTCTATTTGAAGGATTGAAGGCCTAAGCTCATCTGTGAACAGCCTTTTATAAGAATGTTCTCTGTAGTATAGAATTGCTTAGGAAACAACTACCATCATCATTTGTTGAGCCTGACTATGTGTTCAGCCTTGTGCTAAACTCTTTACATGTGTTCCCTCCCTCATGAAGCCTCACAACAATCCTATAACGTAGGGATGATCACAGCAATTTTATATTTGAGAACACGGAGGCCCAGAGAAGTTAAATAACATATTCTAAACCACAGAGCTCTAACTGGTAAAGCCCAGCTAAAACCACTTCTAGGTGACGCTACTTTTCTATAGTCCTTTGAAATTAATTATACAAGGTGTCACCACCAATGATGTTGCTTCTACAGCAAATCTCCTCTCCCAACTCCAACTCCCAGAGATATTTAGATGTAGAAAATCTCTAAAGCATATGTGGTGAACATATTACAAATTCTTCTTCAACATCAGACTACTTTAGAAGTTTTCCATGCGATAAAGAAACAGCCATAAAAGTTGGCACATATGTAGGAAAATGGGTGTGTCCTTAAAACAGATTAATGGATCTAGCATTGTGGTTGAAAAGATATGAAAGGGGCTGGGCACAGTGGCTCATGCCTGTAATCTCAGCCCTTTGGGAGGCTGAGGCAGGCAGATCACCTGAGGTCAGGAGTTCAAGACCAGCCTGGCCAACATGGTGAAACCCCTCTATACTAAAAATACGAAGTTAGCTGCCTGTAATCCCAGCTACTTGGGAGGCTGAAGCAGGAGAATCACTTGAACCCGGGAGGCGGAGGTTGCAGTGGCCCGAGAGCATGCCATTGTACTCAAGGCTGGGCAAAAAGAGCAAAACTCCATCTCAAAAAAAAAAAAAAAAAGAAAAGAAAAAGAAAAGAAAAGATATGAAAGGTCTTTAGCTAGCTCTCCTTTCACAGGAATCCATCTAGGGAATGCAGCTTTGCTATGTGGTGGTGTTCTTTGTATGTAGGAGGAAGGCTCAGAGAGAGCTGGCAGAGGATCAAAAATGACATAGACATATGGATAAAAACATTTATCCTGGGAAAAGTATGCTAAGCTAGGGAGAGTAGAGCCCTACAGCCAAACAAAGCTTTTCCTAACCCTTATGCAGCTGTTACCTCTACACTGCAAGACCTAGGCCTAGGTCGGGTGTGGTGGCTCACGCCAGCACTTTCAGAGGCCAAGGCAAAAGGATCACTTGAGGTCAAGAGTTCAAGACCAACCTGGACAACATGGTGAAACCCCATCTCTACTAATAACACAAACAACAGCCAGGCATCAGGGGACACACCTGTAATCCAAGCTACTTGGGAGGGTGAGGCACAAGAATTGCTTGAACCCAGGAGGCGGAGGTCGCAGCGAGCAGAGATCACGCCACTGCACTCCAGCCTGGGCGACAGAATGAGACTCCGTCTCAAATAAAAAAGACATAGGCCTAGTAGGTAAACATTACAGGGATTTCAGATTTCAACTCAGCACCAAAAGAAACTTTCCTCCACCACTGTCCGAATGTGGAGCCTGGTGTCAAGGAACTAACTCCCTAAAGGTAAATGATATGAACTCTTAATACTGAAGGGCAATCAGGCACTGGATAGTTTAGCTGATGAGATGGTGGTAGTAGCAACTAACATTTATTGAGCACTTACTATATGCCAGGAACAGTGTTAAGCATTTTTTATACAGATTATCTTTTTTTACCCTCAAATGGTCTATGAAGCATGGTCATTTATACCAATTTTATTAATGCAGAAACTTGGATTCACACAAACTAATGCTCTTCACTGGTGATAAAAATACTGCCTACTCCCTTCCAAATCTGAAATGCTACCCTTTGCTCAAAAGCCATGAATTATTTATCCTAGATACAGTTTTCTGACAAACATTTAAAGTTTTCTTAGTCCTCATTTTTCCGTTTTTTGGGGTTTTTTTTGAGACGGAGTCTCACTCTGTCACCAGTCTGGAGTGCAAAGACAAGATCTTGGCTTACTGCAACCTTCGCCTCCCGGGTTCAAGCGATTCTCCTGCTTCAGCCTCCCAAGTAGCTAGGACTACAAGCACGCGCCACCATGCCTGGCTAATTTTTTGTATTTTTAGTAGAGATGCGGTTTTCACCATGCTAGCCAGGATGCTGTTATCTCCTGACCTAGTGATCCACCTGCCTTGGCCTCCCAAAGCGCTGGGATTACAGGCGTGAGCCACCATGCCCGGCCAAGTCCTCGTTTTCTCTCCTTTCGAGACTGAGTAAAGAGTTGGCACTCTGATGTTCTGTGAGTTACCAAGAGAGTAAGCAAAAAAGAATTAGCACTCTGTTTTCCTAACATACAAACCTTAAGTTAATTAAACACACTTAGCAAAGGTAAAAACTAAATGCATACAACAATACAGATAGTTGTACTAATCTTCCAGTCAATCCCCTCAGGCTTTAATTTGAGTTGCTCATAACGAAAAATGTAAATTTTTAAAACTATCAAAGGTATTCAGAGGAAGAGACAAAGAAAGGGAAAAGAGAAAGGGCAGATGAAAGCAGAATTTACATGTTACTTTGAAGACTGATTTTGGGGAATGTTGCTTCTGGTTTTGCATAATGCAGGAGGCAAAGTCCCTATTGCCTACCTACACCAAAATATTTTATAAGCCCAATCATAAGGAACTTGAACTATTTCCACTGCACACCAATCCACTATCAATAATTCAAGCATATTAACTGGTAACAACACCAGTGGTATAACTCTTTAAGATGTGACTCAGAGTAAATACATTCCATAAGTTAAAAAGTACCATATAATTGGAATTCATACATTTGCAAATAAGAGGTATTTCTAGCATAGCATACTGGCCTCCAAAGACAGGTAATATCAGCAAGATTCCCCTGGGATGTTCTCTGTTACAATCAGACACTGAAATAAACTTGTTGTTGAAATTTAACCATAATGCTTCATTTGTATAGCTGTTTTACCTAGAATAAAATGTTCTGTTGTGTAGTTACCAAATCAACTCTTCATAAATAATCAAATACCCTGACTGATAGAGCATCTGCAGAACGATGGAGAAAGGCCTTGTTTCCAGGGGAAGGGGCCACTTTCCCTGCTACGGTCTGAGCCTTTGCCTAGGACATATTTCCATCTGATCCTTCTGGGTCTGATCAGCTATGTTGTCTTAGGGGATAAATAACAGATTTACATCACATAAAAAAAAAACCAGCAAAAATTTGGAAAGTACAACTTTGGTGGGAATGTAGCTTTCTTCAGTGAGAGGGCTATTTCAAACATTCACACTCTTAAAAATGTTTAAGTTCTATGAAGCTATCATTCCTTTTCTCTATTTTTGAACCACATTATAAAGTATAAGTAAGTGACATGTAAAAAGTCATACATATTTCATGTATACAACATGATGAGTTTGGGGAATAATTATAAACCTGTGAAACCATCACCACCATCAAGGTTGTATACCTATCCATCGCCTCCCAAAGTTTCCTTCTGCCCTCTTTATTTACTTATTTTCTTTTGTAGTAACAACACTTAACATAAGATCTACTCTCTTAGTAAATTTTAAGTATACAACACCGTATTATTAGCTATAGGCACAATGCCATATAGTGGATCTCCAGTATAATTCCTTTTCTATGAATTAACCTCAGGAACTATTTAGATTACTGTAAAGATGTAAGTGTCAGAATACCTGCCATGGCATTATTGATAATAGCTAAAAACCAGGAATAATCTATCAGTGAAAGAATAATTAAATACATTATGGTACTATCCTATAATGGAATACTACAGACAACAATTAAAACTGATGTACAGGCCGGGCGCAGTAGCTCCCGCCTGTAATCCCAGCACTTTGGGAGGCCAAAGTGGGCGGATCACGAGGCTATCCTGGCCAATATGGTGAAACCCCATCTCTATTAAAAATACAAAAGTTAGCTGGGCATGGTGGTGCACACTTGTAGTTCCAGCTACTCAGGAGGCTGAGGCAGGAGAATTGCTTAAACCTAGGAGGTGAAGGTTGCTGTGAGCTGAGATCTTGCTACTGCACTCCAGCCTAGTGACAGAGCGAGACTCTAACTCAAAATAAATAAATAAATAAATAAATAAATAAATAAATAAATAGAACAAAACAAAACTGATGTACATCTGTGCTGACATGCAAAATATGACCATAAGTACTGTTTACTGAAAAAAGCAGGCTGCAAAACTGAATTCAAAGCATGATTACATTTTTTTACTACACAAATAAAAGACCAACAAGGAATGACTATAAAGTACTAGCATTAGCCTTTTTCAAGGAGCCAACAAGCCATTTTTGTTCTCCTTTAACATTTATGTATAGTTAAACTGTTTTATAACAAGTACAGGTTTTTCTAACACCCTTGATAAAACAATTATGCTTATTCCATTTCTTTAAAACTTAAAGTGATGCCTGGGCATTTTTGGACAAATAGAAAGAAGTCTTGCTTTCTTGATTGTATGACCAGGATATTAGCAACTAAACAGGGTATATTTCTACTCACATAATCCCCAACACGCTATATGTGTTATAATAATTCCACTGAAATGCTTACGTACTTTTCTGAAATTCTTCCAGTTTTTTAACAGCTTCATCTCGTTCTTGCCTAATTTTGTCACACTGAAATGAGAGAGGTAAACAAATGTTAAACTTCAATCATAAATTTTAAGTTTGAAAAGGCAAGCAAGAGCAAACTTACAAACAGCAGCAATTTTCTGAAAACAAAACAAAATGTAAAACCTTTGAAAACCATCAATGGTCATATAGAACTGGTACTGCTCAGCCAGCATGGTGCTTGTGCCATTTGTATCTGGCCAATTTTCTCAGACCTTCTAAGATATGAGTCACCTTCCTGCTCATTATCTCCTCAGTAACAGCCCAATTTAACATCCTTGAGTTAAAATATATTCATGATTTAAGAGAATGTTTGTACCTCTTTTTATGTTGGCTAATGCTGTACATAGTCACTCATCTACAGGTCTGATTCCAAACAGTTTCAACTATCCAGAACATTGGTGCATACTTGGGAGGGAATGGAAAGACTACCGTGGGCCAGGCGTGGTGGCTCCCGCCTGCAATCCCAGCACTTTGGGAGGCCGAGGCAGGCGGATCACGAGGTCAGGAGTACGAGACCAGCCTGGTCAAAGAGACCAGCTTGGCCAACATGGTAAAATGCTGTCTCTACTAAAAACACAAAAATTAGCCAGGCGTGGTGGCGGGCACCTGTAATCCCAGCTACCTGGGAGGCTGAGGCAGGAGAATTGCTTGAACCCAGGAGGCGGAAGTTGCACTGAGCCAAGATCACACCATTGCACTCCAGCCTGGGCAACAGAGCGAGACTCTGACTCAAAAGAAAGACTACTGCATGAGGGCAAGAGACAGCCACATGGCACACACTCTCACCCAAGAAAACATGATCCATGTGTCCTCAGAATTCTGAATAGAGGAAGGTACCAAATTAAAAGGAGAGAAGATAAAATATTCCATACTAAGCACATTATCATTTATATAAACTGATTTTTAAGGTGAGAGAACTCACTGAAAAGACTTTGGAAGGCAAGACCATAAAAGGCAAAAAATAACCATTAGAGCATAAGGACCTTTTAGGGTATCTGGTATAGAAACAAGTATCTCCAGTATCGACAGGCCCAGGAGGCATTAATGAATTTTTTTTAAAAACCTAATGTTTATTATTATAAGGACTGAATTCAGTATATCTTGAATTTCATAAAACAGGGACATATAACAAGATATTCACCACAAGTAGCTAAAACATTAAAAAGTAATTCCTAGCTATTAGAGTAGTAATTTAAAATTTAATATCTTGGGAATACCTTATTCCCTAAGAGTGCCTTATGAATAAAGCACAATTTTAAATTATATTTGATTGCTAACCTGCCAGATAAATATACTGGAATTTCATCCCTTTGGATGTTCTTAATTCCAATTTTCAACAGCTAAAAAATTATGATGTCAGATAATGTGAAAAATCCAGATTAAAACAGTGAGATATTCTCACCTATTAGACTGGCAAAAACTGAAAACAATCTGATACCAGGAGACAGGAACTCTCACAGACCACTGATGGATGTGTCAATTGGTATAATTACTTTGGAAATAAACTTCTATCAAAATTGAATAGATACTTTCCTATGACTCAGCAATTCTACTTCTTGGTGTATATACCCAGAGAATCTCTAGTAATATATAACATATACAAAAATGTTCCACATTTTTAATAATAATATATCATGGTATGTTCATATACTACACTACAGAGCAGTGAAAATGAATGAATAAAGCCATATGTATCAACACAAATGTTAAAAACCATCATGTTGGCTGGGCGCGGTGGCTCAAGCCTGTAATCCCAGCACTTTGGGAGGCCGAGGCAGGCAATCATGAGGTCGAAATATCAAGACCATCTTTGCCAACATGGTGAAACCCCATACCTACTAAAAATACAAAAATTAGCTGGGCATGGTGGCGCATGCCTGTAGTCCCAGCTACTCAGGAGGCTGAGGCAGGAGAATCGCTTGAATCCATGAGGCAGAGGTGGCAGTGAGCCAAGATCACGACACTGCACTCCAGCCTGATGACAGAGCGAGACTTTGTCTAAAAAAAACCAAATACAACAACAACAAAAAAATCATTTTGCATGAGTTGCAGAAGATATATCAGATATATCAAATAACATCTTACATGCACAAAAGCATCTCATATATTTACATATGTTTTATGATACATCTAGTATATATAAAAATATGAAATGAGGCCGGGTACAGTGGTTCATGCCTGTAATCCCAGCACTTTGGGAGGCCGAGGCGGGCAGATCACGAGGTCAGGAGATCGAGACCATCCTGGCTAACACAGTGAAACCCCGTCTCTACTAAAAATACAAAAAATTAGCCGGGCGTGGTGGCAGGCGCCTGTAGTCCCAACTACTCAGGAAGCTGAGGCAGGAGAATAGCGTGAACCTGGGAGGCGGAGCTTGCAGTGAGCCAAGATCGTGCCACTGCACTCCAGTCTGGGCAATAGAGAGAGACTCTGTCTCAAAAAACAAAGAATATATGAAATGAGAAGAAATATATAACATTTATGACAGTAGTTGTCTCTTAGGAGACTGGGAGGGGAATGGGATGAGAAATGATGAGAACTTTCAGTTGTATCTGCTGCATTCCTTGTTTCCGAATTTCAAGAGAACAGTTCTGTGCAATGGGTATTTGTTATACTATCCTCTGCCCTTTTCTGTCCTTTCAAAATATTTTAAAAATAACAAAGTAAGAAGCTTGCAGTTCAGTTTTCCCCTTTAGTCACTAAAGAACCACTGAAATGTCATACTGTCCCTGCTCATATGGGTAAATGTATTCTGGCAAGAGAACATGAAGCAAGTACACAGTGTTAAATTAGCAAATCTGGTTACTAAATCCTGACTCAGGATGCCTCACCCAGTCAAAATGAGTTAGGTTGGACCTAACTTATTTCCTAAAGGAGAAGGCATTTCTTTGACTAAGGTTTTCCTGTGGCAATCCCATCCTCTGTAAAAAATAATAATAATTCTGTCTAACACAGTCTGTAGTTCCAGCTTAAACCAACAACATTTATGATTTTTCGGTGTTTAAAATTCTAAATAGTAGAGTTCTAAATTCGCATATCGGCTTTTCTTAGCTCCTTCCTCAACCCAAGGGGACTACATTAGACACCATAACCCTTAATGATAGGAGACCTCTGGCCAGCGGTTTCAGGAATGTTCCTGTCATTTTCTAGAATGGGCTTCTGTTTGTTCTAGACTTCCCCACCACCCCTACCAGTCTGTCTACCTTCCTCCAACAACGCACAGTATAGCATAAGGCACAAAAAGAAACCTAGTTTCCAACTAGGCTCAAACTCCTGAGTCATGATTGCCAAGTGAAATATATCTGGTGCTTTACTTTCAAATTAATTTAATATTTCTTAATCTGGCATATCTGAAAAATGTGAGATGTCTTGTAAAAAACTGTCTTCATTTAAAATCTGGTACTTGGGAGTGTTGCTCCTGCCTTAATGTCACTTGGTTCCCTCTATGTAGCTCTCAAAGCTCTACCTAAAGGAATTAGAGGTTTATTCAATTCTTGCTTCAAACAGCCAGAGTTTTTAGTGAGACCTTGAATGACAAAAGCATTAAACAGGAATGGTGCTCTATCTAGTCAAATCTGAAAAAGGTCACCAGTTGACATCATACACAACCACTAATGTGATGCATGACAATTTTAGGTAGGCTTGTACTAGTTGCCCAGAAGAAAAACATTAGGTCCATGCTCTCTGCTATGAAGGCCCAGGGAGACAAACTCAGGTTAATAACAGGTCTCAACATCAGTTTTATTCCAACATGCAGGTAGCCCATTTCTATAGTCCAGCTATATGTGTTCACACTAATCCTATGGTTATCATCAGCAGATTCACAAGCTGTCTCCCATCCCCAGCTGTGTTCTATCAGGGGTCTTCATGTTGCTTTGCTTTCTATTTTCTGCAACCACATTATGCTAGAACTGGCAGCCACAGAATTTACCATCTGTTATGCTGAAAGGGGTGTGAGTTGGGGGTGGGGAGAGTCTACACATGCTGCAAATGCAGCTTACTTATTCTGAACCAGAACTGAGCAAAATATGGAGGATGTACGCATTTACTAAAAGCAGAAATCCAAACACCCACTTATTTCATCTTTTTAGGTGAGCCCAGAAAAGAAACTTGCAAATTTTCTCTCATTCTACCAACAGAGGGAAGTCAGCCAGGATTACGGGCCTTTTTGGAAGAATGTTTCATCTTTACACCACACAGAAGCCCCTCACCCATCCCACCCCTTCCTCTACCCTGCTCACGCAGCTGCACCATTTGTAAAAACTGCTTCTTTTTGTGTGAGAATTGCTCATGAAGACTTTGCAATAGCAACAGATGTTCTTGGGCCTACATCACTTAATTATGATGCCCAACGATTCTCTGTAGCTCAAGGCTGGGGTAGAACCCAGTGGCACAACTGCTGGCTCATGTAAGCAAGCTGGATAACATTACATCTACTCTAGAGTCTCTATTTGGCTCTTTATGAAGGGATGAATTGACCGGAGGTTGGCCTTGCTGGTTTTGAAAGCCCTTAATATTAGAAGCCCTGGCTATTTTCCAGATCTCTTCCTTGAACCTCATCCAGGCAGATACCTGGCTTCTGAAACTAAACCAGGATTTCTGAGGATTGGCAGACTGATTTGCAGAGAAATAGCCTTTCCAGTGTGAATTAGTGTCTTCCTTGCACCACCCACTCCCCAAAATGGGCAGCTCAGTTATTCATCCCCCTCTCACATATTCATCCAACTACCATCAACATTAAAATGTCTGCTTCAAAGGGCTCAGCAGAAGTACAGATAACTGATATAGACACCAAGACATCTTTATATTCTGTTGTACGTATATGTTACACAAGAAAAACCTCAGCATTCTGAATTGTATCTAACTTCCACTAACATAAATATTCATGCTTGTCTTCCTGGTGCACAAATGCATCAGAGGGTTACTAGCCTATACACAGGGCAGTTCGGGGCCCAAGAAGTGTATATATGCACCGCATATGCACAATACCAAGATAGGGGACA